GGGTGCTCTGTCCACAACAGTAAGGCACAAATCCATGTGTTTCACCGACTTGTCCTTTGTTAAGGCCCATTCCTAGAAAAAGGAAGAAAAAGAAGTGTATACAATTGTGTATACTAACATATGCACAAGGTGCACATGCCATCTCTGCATATATAGCACAGGTTAAAATCCTGTAAATGGCTAAGTATGAGCATTCAAACGGTTCATTGCTTCCCATAGAGCAGGGGAGGAAAAAAAGGTCTCTCAAACACAGTCTGCTTCAGTATCCCCAAGTCAGCTCAGGGGATACGGGGCTGGCTGTTTGCTCCCTCTGCTGGCTTTACAGAAGTACAACGAGCAGTCACACAGGTCCTCAGGTATAAAATATTTGTCCAAATATTCGCCCAGCTATATTTTTACCTATCTATGCCTCTGTGTGTGTATTACACACCCCTCATATCTTCTATGTAGGAGAAATTTATATATATGTAAAAACATATATAATTGTATATATAAAAACCCTAATAGCTTGGGCTGCAGCATCACTGGCCACCCTACCCACACACTAAACAAAGCATATGTACCGCAGCGAGGAAACGGTAGTTCTTAACATGATAGAGACCACCAGAAAGCAATCCACAAGCGAGCCAAACTCAAGGGTAGAGGGAGAATCCAAGGTGTGATATACAACAGAATTTCTTTTAAATGCATTTAAGTATGCAACTTCCTAAATAGAGAGCAAAGAAAAGCCGTTCTGTATGTACTGTTGCCCAGCTTGTTTGATCTCAGCATCCTTCTACGCAGAGCCTGATCTCGCACTGATGTTCAGATTCTCTCCATGCCTTTCTCCCCAAAGTTTGGTCTTCAGGATCCAAATTGGCCTTCATTTGTCTAATTATCCTTTGAGGAAGGAAGCTGATCTATCAACTAAAGCCGCACTAATTATCTAAATCATGCTCGTCGCTACTTAAAAAGGCACAATTAGCTTTCCTCCAACAACTAAAGAGGATTCAGAGTTGTGTAATACAAAACCCTAGATACACAGGACCAAGCCTGGCTACATTTAAATGTTATTTTACAAGCAATGAGTGTTTCAGAAAGAAGTTAAACGACTAATCCCATCCCATTTTTTAAAATTTATTTTCTGATACCATAACTGAATTTTTGGCTTGCATAATCACTTTTAAACTCAGCAGATTTAACAATGATGAAATTCCTTTGAGAACAGATGCTCAGGAAACAATCAGAACTTCTATCCCACGCGATTACAAGTAATCGCCATCGTACAGGTAGCAAGCCATTAGATGGGTACCATATTATGCAAGTACTAGAATAATGACAACTATGCAAAACAAAGCAAAGGCAGGAGAACTTTGTGTATCCCTTTACTTGTTTCCCAAACCCGTAAGCTGAAAACTTTTCCTGTCACTCTCAACATGTAAAATATTTTCCACTATGTTAATCTCAGATGACAGCAAAATTGCTTGCCTTCTCAGTTCTGTCCAGTTTGTAAGATGTCAACAAGTATCATTAATAGCCACTTTTAACAACTTAAGGAATTAAGTTATTTTCAGAGCTTATCAGGAATCACAAATGCCCCTGAAAAAGATAGCCCCCTTGTAAGATTTATACTGAATAGTGACAGTTGAAAATACTACCAGGGAGGTGGTAAAGCTTCTGTTTGAGAACCCTGCAGTCAGAGAAAGTTAGAGCCTTGAAAATATTGCTTTATACATCTTCACCCTTCCATCAGAAGGCTGGAAGAGCCCCAGACACAACAGCAATCATGCAAGTAATTAACACATCTAAAAGCCAAAGGTACTGCTCCACAAAAGCTCCAAGCTCTGCTGCTGGAGACATCAACGTGATGGCCCTTCATGGTACGAAAGAGAGTGTATAGATGCTTTCCTCCAGTGATCAGGAACTATGACTAGCTATAATGGAGATAAGATTAAACAAGTTCCACTACACCAGAAAAGAAGAAAAATTGCAAGGAGTGTATGTGCTTAGGGCACAGGCTGGAAATAGGACAGCTCTGCGTAACAATTTGAAAATCAGGACATCTGAAAAACCACCTCTGTCATAAATCAGAAATAAAAAGTTAGTAGAACACCACTAACCTGAAACCTTCCCCTTGCACCTAAGTGCATTTGGCTTTACCTTTAGCTCCTCATCATAACCCTACATATTTGTACATAATTGTCAAATACACTGCAATTTCTTCAGCTCTTTAGAGGTGCACATCTACCTTTTTAATCACTGAATTCCACCAACCTGTTGGGAGGGGCAGAAATCCCATTTTGACTTAAATTTTTGTGTTGAGCGTAAGCCAGAGTACACTCTTCAAATTACAGGAGAAGGTCTCCACAGCCTATAATATCTGAGTATTCTTAATCCCACACCCGCCCCAAAACCCTCTTGATAAGAATAGGTCCAAAACACATAGTACAGATTTAAAGACTCTGGTTTGTTCCCTATCCCTCTTCTCCCATGCTGAGCTCACCCTGTTCATTCCCTCCAATCCAATATGAATTCTGCTTGGACATAAAACTTGGGTTTGACCCGTTCTGCCTCTTAATCTGTCTGAATGTCCTCTCACAGGGACCTGTTCAGAGCAAGTGTATACTGGTTGAAAGCAGCAGCTAACTGTGTATCCATAGAGAATACACAACATCACCAGAAACTTCCAAGATTTCTTAACCAAGGCAATTCTGGCACATCCACCCTTTCTCCTAAAAAACACTGTGGTGTTCTGGAAGATGCGTGTACTTTCATAAAGGTAATAGAAAAAGCCTCCCCAGATATATTCTCTTTAATGATAGGGAAGAGGGGCATATATCAGATGTATGATGGCAATGCATCCAAATCAACATGATACATCTTCCAGGAAGTAACTTCTTTACTTCAGGCTTCATCTGATTTTAGGGTTTTCTCCTCCTAATTTAAATCAGAGAGCAAAATTCTGATACTCATTCAACACTAGATTTGTAATTGGTCAGCCTCCTATTTTAACAGATGTACTTGAAGTATTACTCTTACATTTGATTTCTAGCCAAGTTGATTCTGAGAAGAAATTAGTGACAAAGCAGCACACAAAACAGTGCGCATGTATGCATATATTTCGTGAACGATAACTAAGTCACAACTGCATAAATAGATTCTTTGACATAATTAATGCTCTCGTTTACAGATTTGACACATTTGCCATTAGTTTACGAGTAGGATTAGAAAGGATTAGTTGAAACATTCCCTTTACTGTGAGTGAATAAGATATGACATTTAGGCACCTCTGTTTTCCAGAAGAGCCAAACGGGGATTTAAGAGAGTTTTTTTTTTTTATACCCTGCTACTGCAAATTGGAAATGACTAATAGGGCACAGTAAAGCATTCTTCTATTTTGCTGACCTTAGGCCATACGCTTAATACAACCCAAATCTTTTCTTAAGTAAAAATCCCTCCCAAAAAATCAAATACACCAATTCACTGAAAAAAGTTTTCTATACAAGTATAAAACTCCTGGGAAGGAAGTTACTGGCCTCTAGTGTAAAAGCAAATATTAATAGAGACAAAGGAAGGGGATAATCTGATGCACACTGAATGAATCACTGGGTTCAGATTCTAATCCTGAAGACGCGAAATTGTATTTGAGGGAGAAGTTATTTAGCCAATCTGTTATAATAACCAGTCTGCTGATTTGGGTTCATCTTCCTATCACCAGTTCACAGTACCTGCTTGAGTTAACAAGCATAACTTTTTTTTTTTCTTTTAATTAAAGATCACATACTGTGGAAAAAAAAAATAATGGCATACAGACCTGGTTTCCCCCGGCATTATGACATTCATAAACTCCAACAACGCCATCTGCAAAATGGCCCAAAGTGTCAAGGCAATTGGTACCCTGCTGCAAAGCCCCAAAAGCTATATCTTGATGATCAGGTACCCTAAAATAAAACCAGAAATACCTGCTTAGTTCAGTTTATTTATTTATTTATTTTTAACTCCTTGTCTTTACTCAGAGTATTTTTAAGATGACAGGTTAAAGATGAGTGGTGACTACTATCTGGAAATCTCAATCATCTTCTGAGGAAGGAAGGCAATTATCTGATCATGAACTGATCAAACACGAGTAAACTTGCAAGCTTAGGACAGAATACAAGAAGATTTGTACCAGAGAATGAGGATGAACATACAAACTCAGCACAAAAGACAAATTAAAGATGACTTAACATCATCATTTAAGGTCACTCAAGCTTAATGCTATCAGTTAAGGTCATCAAGCCCTCTTGTTTTTTCAGCCAAGCTAGCTTGTGGCAGAAATATGACGTTCTACATTTTTCTCAGACTGTTTTCACTGAACTGTTAGAAAAGGGGTTAGGAATTTTAAAAAAATATATATATATCAATGTTTTGATGGTATCTATTTTCTAATGGTTGCACATAAAGTGCGCTCATATAGTATGGAAATGCCTAGGCAAACCCGTTCAACAAGTACCATTGTGGGGTAGAGACCATGAGTTCATGTCAAACAGTAAAGCAAGGGTGTATTAGCTCCTTCTAAAACTTCAGACTGTAATATGAGTATAATAATTCAAGCCAGCAGAATGAGCACATGAGAGATGACACAGAGTAAGGCGACATTACACTTAAGTAATGCTTATGGAAGCACATTTTCCAGGAGCGCTTGCACGATATATTTTTTCTGACAAATTAAACAAAAATAAATTTATTTTCTCTTAGAAGTGCCAGAAATAACTTCCTCAGCATCATCCTGCCTTATGAGACTGTTTATTATGTGTGATTCTGTACGTTTCACTAGGGCTGTAATGGCTGGGGCTTTTGCAAACACTGTATGCCACTAGCAGCTACCTGACTCTACTGACATGAAGTGCCCCCAGGAAAAAATCAAGTATTCTTATAAGCCACACAGAGTATCTTACCATTACACTACCAATATTAGGTTGATAGCAGACAAACTAGTTTATAGACTCAAATCTGACAGATATACTTATTAACAGGTTATTGAACAAAAGTCTTTTTATCCTTTCAAAAAGCGATAACAGTATTTCTCTTTGAGGATTTTTCATTAGTTAGGATGCATTCATGTTATAGAAACTGTTAGCAATGTTACCCCTCATTTCCCTCTTCTCACCCGCCCCCAAAAGTTACTGATTATCCACTGACAGAGAACAAGAGACAGAAAGAGCAGAAGACTCAGCTTCTTAGAGTCTTAGGCATCTACCCTTGTCTGCCAAATACGCAAGGTTCTCTTGTGTGCAGACTGCCGTTACTCGTACTGTACTGAGATGCAGTCTCCTCACTCAACTAGGCACGTGCTTAGGTGAAGGCAAAAGCTTTAAAGGGATGACAACAGGATACAGAACAGTGCACTTTTGAGCAAATGGCTTGTGTAGGAGATACAGGCTCAGATAAGTTGAGTCCTTTGGACACTGTTCTCTAAGATACCTGCTACTGCAGCTGTAGTTGCAGTAAAAAGGAAAAGCAGCTTACTAGGGAAAAATGGCTCTTTAGGAATAGAACCAATAAAAAACAAAAGCAAATAAGCCCACATGAGGCATTGCTTTCACAAATAAATTCAAACACATCCTTTACATCCAAGGAAGGAGAAAAGGAAACGGTTGATTTCTGGGGAGGGCAAAAAAAGAGAACTCCATACTATCTCCAATTCAGCCAAAACTCACCGTAACTCAGGATAAACATTTTCAAGATACCACTTGAAGGGTTTGCAGCTAAGTCTCTTTCTGAGTTCCATTCGGCTTTGAATACTAGAGGGGAAAAAAAGGAGCAGTTTTCAAAGTCAGGCTGCTGTCTTCATGCAAGTTAAGGAATACACAGAAAACTCAAGAACAGTAGAACTGTAGAACTATATCTTAAAGAGGTAACACATGAAAGCTAGGACTGCTTTCGCCTCAGAAGGTGCTGTCTCATGAAGAATAAATGAAGAGGGCAAAAAAGCACTTGTGACTTACTTGCCATAAGGTACATTCCTGGCTGAAGGCACTGCTGCATAATAGAAATTTTTATACTCATCCATCCAGACTTCTGCTGCCCTGCGTGTATTTCTAGGGACAATCACATGAAACACATGGTTTAATTGCAGCTAGAGAAAATATAACCTATGTCATTTATCCTTGGGTTGATTTTAATCCTTCATAGTACTACATAGTCAGCTGCCTCAAGCCAGGTAGAAGATTCCCTATTAAAGACCCAAGTAATAGAAAACCATTAGAGAGTAACACAACTGAAATCAATGCATTTAGAATGAAATTTGTGTCTTTTCCACACTCATCACTGCTTCAGGTTTTCATCCAGAGTTTAATACACATCTCGGAGTTCTTTCTGCAGACTTCATGGAAGTTGTTAGGTTGTTGTTTGTTTTGTTGGGTTTTTTCCCTTTTTATAAGAGTAACTTGACAGAAGCCAAATTCAGTGAGTGTTGACCTGGATAGGCAAGCTGATTGGAAACAAAAATCTCAACAATTGGCAATATTTAATAATGTCTTTTACCTTCTAAAAACAGATATGCTAACATAGGCAAGACATATTTTCAGTCTTCATCCTATTCCTACCAACAGAGCACTCGAAAGTTCCAAAAAGACATAAGCTGTTGTGACATTTAAGGCTACGAACCAAGCGAGTCTGCTGTAGCTGAGGTAACAGAGGAGAACCAGTAATTAAAAAGTATTATTAATGTTTTAAAATTCAAGAGAGATTAATTATTGCAATAAATGTGAAAAACACTAACCCAAAATTTTCTACTTCTAATCAAACACATCTCTAACTAAAATTCCTGTGTTTATGTAACCGGTGTCTTTAAATCTCCTTTTGGACTGCAAGAAGGTAATGTCTTTTTCCATCCCCTGGCTTCCATGTAAAACTCATTTACTTCTATTGTTTGTAATTTTATCCTTAGAAAATTAAGTCTTATTTCACTTGCAACTGCCATGCTCTGAAGCTTATTTTACATTTGGCAGTAAGTTCATCTAAAGCAACTGGAGTAAACTCAGTCAGCCAATAACTTCTTTAATATGATTTTCCAATTCAAAAGACAAAAAATGGTCAGGATAAAGTGAGTTGTTCTTGCAGGTCGCTGAGAAGGAAGGACGTGAGGAAGAAAAAAAAAAGTCACAAGACAGACCTCAATCATTTTTTGTTTGAGAACTTATTTTTCCTTGCAAAGATTCCTTTAAATTTTTTGTAAGCAAAATCCCAGTCAATCCAGATTAGAGAGCTATTTCGGTTTACCTTCACTTGCAGTCTCTCAGGCCTGTGTGAGTGTCAGCCAGCCACTCGGCACCTGCCCCTGTTGCTTGCTCAGTGATCAGCTTGGCTGCCCACAGGCCAAACAGATTTTGGTGGTGGGAGAGGAACTCTTCAGTTTGCCAGGGTTTAACGACTCCAAAGGCACTTTCAAGGCCAGAACGCATGCCTGCATCATGCTTCCCCGTACTCAGGGATGAACAGTTCAGGCTTAGTGCGACATGAATACAGAAACTGTGTAGATGCTGAGAACTGCCTGAACTAATAAGACTCCAAAGAAGGCAGGGTACTGAAAGACACAGCGTAGGGTGCACTCAGCACTTAACACTCGGCCACAGTTAACGAAACCTAGCTATCAGAGGTAGCTTTGCATGGAGCAGATTGGGGTCTGCAAGATTTATACACTTAATACACTCGTCTGAAGCGGTGTATTAAGGCAGTGCATACTGGTCTAACAAATCCTGCCAGACACGGGCTGTATCTGCCCACACCACACAGCCAGGATGTGGTCTCCCCTCTCATGAAACAGGACGCCCAGTCTCTCATCCAGAATCACCAATTTGTTTTGGCTGCCAAAAGGCAATGCATACTGACTGATTAGTCAGCTAAAAATAGGACACTTACCCAGAATGCTCCAGAACAAATTACATACAGTCACGGGACAGATGATGGTATAAGCTAACAAATCCTGACTGCAAGACCAGCACAGATTCCATGCACCAAGTTCCTTGGCACCGTGGTCCTACACATACCTGATAATACCTGTATTACAAGGGTATCCCATTACCTTAGGTTTCTCATTCTCTCATTGCTAAAGTTGATTTTAAAGCACTGTTATATTGGTTTGACACCCAAGAAAGCTGACTGAGGAGAAAACCTTCAAACATACAGCAACTTGTCAACCCTGCTTTTAAGTGATATGCAACTTTTCTAGGTTAATTCAAAAATAATTCCAGTGACACAAAGAATTTTAAGGAGATTTCAGAATTTGAGACAGCTGGACAGCTAAGGACAAAGGTAATAAACCACTTGCAGGGAAAGGTAGATCTGGAAAGGGATCTAAGTACCCAAGACGCTAGTTTGCCGGCTTCAGCTGTCCTCACCATTCAAGTGCATGTGGGATCTCTTTTCAAAGTCATTTTGAACACAAATGACTGGAAAACACAATGTGACTTTAAAAAACCTACCATAGTAATTGTCAGGACATTTGAGTGATCAAATCACAATGATGATTTGACTTCACAACAAAATCCAAAAGCTTTAATCCCAGTACGAATGAAGAATCTTCAACCCCTGCTAATATGATGCATTTCTGATGTCTGCTGTATCCTTGCATGCATACAGCCACACCCTTTTCCTACTTTTCAGTTGAGCTATGTTTAAGTACCTATTTAATATCACAAGAAAAGCAGCATCTTGGCAACAGCCCAAAGATAGAAAAGCTGCAGAGGAGTGGGAAAACTCCACAATTTATATATTTATTTATTTTTATTAACCATACTCCTTGTTATGACATTGTCATTTTAAAACTAACACAGTTGCATCCTAAGCCTATGTGATACAGTTTAATTGGTAGATCCTTCTACCCTCCTGATGCACACTATAAATACTGGAATAGAGATGTGATGCATTAAGAGATGATATTTCATTGCTAGCTTTTGTTTTCCCATAAGTACTATTATTTTACAGTGAAAAAATGAATAAAATACAGATCTCAAAGACTAGAGGACCAGAAAAATCCCTACTATAACTACTGGAAGAAACATGACAGTGACTTTATTTTAGCAGACTATTAAATTCATTAGAGTCATCTTGGTGACATAACCAGCGCGGAAGAGAAGAATTACACCCCTAAGGAGGTTTCTCAGTCTAAGGTGAAACAAGTCCAAATGTATCGGCAGCTTAGAACATTCTTATGAATTTAAGTATATCTGTGCTCTCTGTGTTACTTCATGTTAAACAGAGTTTGGGCTCCATATCCCTTCAAGGATAAATAATCAATTTTATTTGCAGCTCTTAACCCACAGAACCTTTAGCCGAGACTTGTACTTCTTCAGCCCCCTGAGCATCAAGTCCAATTCTCTAAACCAAAATCTCCAGTGATTCTTCAGCTACAACTGATAGAGCCTTGGTCAAAACGTCTACCATACACTCATGCAATACCTTCACCCACATTACTTAAAAAACACTAGGAACGTGAGTCAGAATTGCTATTCTCATTCTACAGAGGAGAACCTAAGGAAATAGCTCAGTATTTCAGCTACCGCCTTACATTGAATCGACAGTAAAATTAACAGGCATATTAATCTAAACCCTTAATACTTAGGTCTTAGGTCTATAGAAAAAGCATTTTTAAACATAGCACAGGAAAGGCAAATATGATATAGAATGAAGTTGCCAACAGACTGGCACAAATGCCAGAATCAGTCTACATAATCATTTGTATATCACATACCGATCATGTATTAACAAAACCCAAGCAGAGCATATTCGTAACTTAAGTGTATTCTGGCTCTTAGTGAATGATGACACTGTTTCTATAAAATGAAGATTTATGAGACAGTTCTGAAAATAAAGCCTTCTTTAAAACCAAACAAACACAAAGTTCTCAAAGTTGATAGACTGCCAAGCTAAGCATTTCCTTCTTTTCCAGATTCTCAGGCTGTGTCTACTAGAAGTTTCCCTTTTTCAACTCTCAGGTTCTTCTCTCAATCTGTGTAGTTGCCTCAAAATCATTAATTTCCTTTTAATTAATATTTTTCCATGCTAGATAATATTGCAAATATTTCTAAAGAAAAGATCCTTAAAATGAAATTACTGCCACCTGCTGATCATCTGAAGAAATCCAAGTCATTGCTATTTAGCAATGAAGCTATTTAGAAAATGAAGACTTGACTTAACAGTTACCTTGCAAACACGGTACCACTCCCACCAGGAAACGTGTAAGGATGCTGTTTGCGGAATACGTGACCCACTCTGCTGCAAGGGATGATTTCTAGGCTCCCACCGCATTGCCAAACTCTGAATGAGATCTCTGAAATAAAAACATGAATGAAAGACCAACATCACAAAATACTTTAATTCTGTAGTATACTATTTACAGAGAAGGCTTTCATTGACTGTTGCTGAGAAGATCAATAAGAGAGTTTTCTGAGAAATTCCAGGATAAACAGAGGCACATCTGAGCATTCATTATTCTCCAAGCTCAAGAGAAATAATCATATTAACTTGGAAGCAAAACTGTACACCTTCTCTTATCTGAGGTTACCAGCATTCCCCAAATTCATAAACCATGCTGCAATTTGCCAGAGTAAGTTAGGTCTACATGTACCATTACTGTGCTTTATCTAAAGGGTAAGCAACAGTTGATACACTTAACAGATAAATTAATGATCTAGCTTATAATAAAATTTCTCAGCTAAAGATGGAATAACACAGTGGACAAAATCAAGGCATGATAAAACAATCAATAGATTCGAGCTGCTAACTTACTATAGCAGATAACCAAATACTCCCAAACACTGGCTGTGGAAGGAGTTATATCAAGTCAGTCTTGATTTGAAGACAGACCAAATAAAGATGCAACTTCTGTAAACTGAAGGTTATGGACAGTACCCTTCTAAGCCAATCTAGAAACATGCATGTCAAACATTCTTCAGTTGCATGAGATTATGTTACACCTCTCAATAACAGATTTGCTCTTTTATTGTAGTGCGTCATCGATATAGAAGACAGGGAATGTCTTACCCGCTCCCTGATTTTAGCAAAATTATTAAGAAAAGCCTAGGTTTTCAAATTAGACCCAAACTTTCTAATGGTCCATCCAGTTCTCCAGTGTACTCTGATCCTCCTATGCTTTTCAAAAAGCATTTTAAAGATTCTGAGAATTAGAGTTTACGAATTCAAGACAAGCCTGAACAAACCTTGATCCATGTTTTGTACAGCAAGCACGTGTTATCAGTCACATTTAGCAACAATCTGAAAATGCACCGTATCTTCATGGTAAGAGGTGCCTCTTGGCTAATTTAGGCAAAATACTACAGGCCAATCTTGAAATTTGTGAAGTTGAGACTATAGTAACATGGGAACAAAATCTCGTAACAGTTGCTCTGTACATGCTTGGAGGAAAAATTGTAAGTTTTATAAAGCATAAATCTAACGTATAGAATTATTTTGCAAGTCCATCTAGCAGGTTATTTGCATGTAACATCAAGCTGCTGATCCAGAGATATGCTTGAGAGTAAAGAGGCCTGACGAGTGTGCATGTTAAATTTTAAACTGCACATCACAGATTTCTCGTATCTGGTGCATGTGTCATTTATTGCCAATTAAATCATACGCCATGTGATCTTTACTCGTCTTCAGTGAGTCTGGCAGCTGCGAACAAATCATTAGCTGTCTGCTGTAGTGACTGACTTTACCTTTTCAGGGAGCAGAGAAAAGGCACCCCAAAATCTCCATCTCCTCCTTCCCGTGGAGAAGGGGGAACAGAATGCAGCAGGAGCAACATAAACAGCTTTTTGCATGCAGTCTTCTCACCCTGAGTAAGGAGCTGTTGCTTGTGCCCTTTCCTGCTATCAAGGCCTCAATTATCAAAGCATAAAAGCAGCTGCTAAATTTTCAGAAAAAACTCAGTCACTCAAGTACATGCTTGCAGCTAATCAGATATTTAAGTGCCCTAGGGGCAAGAGAGGTTTTTCAGAGTGAATGCGAGTATTGCTGTAGTAAGTTTATCCAATGACTTTCCAGGACATTTAAAAAAATGAAAAATTATGATATTCATCAATAAAATTTAGCAATATATAGCCAAAATAGTGAGAAAACAGAAACACAGAAAGTAATTGTTCAAAGTACATAAGAGATTTCTTCGAGTATTGCATAGGAAGGTCAGAGACTGGACTGTAAGGATGGCTCTCCCAGCCTTTAAGTTCCTTACAAGAGTGTTAAACATTTGGTTACCGTGCCTCCATACTTAGTGTGTTGTATACAGCAGACATTTCCTTGTAGGCCAAGCATATGCTCAATGCATATGCAAATTTCAGTAACTCAAAATACTCATGGGTTTTTACAAGTTCAAGGTATTTTAGGATTTTGCAGCTAACACGTGTAGTAGAGAAGTTTCTACCCTTAGAACTGGTCCTAAAACACACTACTTAGGATGTGAGATGCATCTCTACCCTAAAAAACTAAATTAATGACAGAATGAAAGTCTTATGAAGTTGTAGAGTTCTGCTCCTCCAAATCTTTTTTGTTGTAATACAAGTATACCGGTCTTAACTGGAGAAAAAACTTTGTACAATACTGTAATGCAAAGAGACAAAAAAAAAACTACTAAAGCCAGATCTAACCACCAAGTCAAAGAAGAAATGGCTAAAGCACAAGTTCTCTCAGTCCCTCCTCCCTCTTCTCTAAATCCCACTCACTTAAACATCTGAAAATAAGGAATTAAAGTAAAAATGCCTTCTCAACCATAATTATCTCATAGGACTAAAGTAGGGGTATAAAATTAAGAAAACTCACTAAGTTTAGATGCCAGGCAGCATAGTATTATTAGTGTTAAGAAATAGATTATTCTTCAGTCAGCTAAGTTTTAACTGATTTCTTAAGATGTATCTAAGAACATTATACTCATGAACTCCTGTGTTCTACTTTTCACAATTAAACTTCAGCAACATCTTAAAACATGCCTTAAATTGCCAGCATTTAAACATTATTGTATTTTAATCAATAACTTTAGATGAAGATGTGACTCTCAAACAAGATAGCATTTTTGAAAGTAATTTCCTATCTACATCCTGTAATTTTTTATCAGCCAACTTCCATTACAAAAAAAATTTCACTGCTTAACGAACAAATACTTTTATTGTCTTATATTTAGCATATAATTCCTACCTTGTTTTAATTCTTTCATTGAAAGAAACCTTTTGTATTTTGCCACTAATGCATGTGAAGTTTTAACTCTGGTTTTAACCCTCTTTGCACAAAATCAGGAAGATCATGACTCTGTGACAGTAAAAGCAATGATGAAACCTGCTTTCTTTCATGACTGATCCAAAGGTAACAATATACATACCTAAGTTTTCTCCACCCCAAACATCCATCATCATGTCATACTTCCCTAGTTCTTCAAAATAGGATTTGTCCATCACAAATAACCCACCGGCTATCATGGGTGTCCTAAACAGACAAGAAAAATTAAATTAAATACGTACAGAACCATGAGTCAGGAGGAAACTATTATTTGCACCTCAAGGTTAATACCACCTTGAAAAAATTTGCTATGCTTTTGAACGCAACTAATTTTGCATCTATCACTTCAGATGTTGTCTGCACACATTTCTATGGCATATATAGTGCTATGACCACCTTCTGAGGCAGTTTCCAAATCTCCATTTGGCTCTGTTCTGGTTTTGGCTGGGATAGAGTTAATGTTGTTCACAGTAGCTGGTATGGGGCTGTGGTTTGGATTTGTGCTGGAAACAGCACTGGTAACACAGGGATGTTTTCGTTACTGCTGAGCAGTGCTCACACACAGTCAAGGCCTTTTCTGCCTCTCACCCCACCCCACCAGCAAGTAGCCTGGGGGTGCACAAGAAGCTGGGAGGGGACACAGCCGGGACAGCTGACCCCAGCTGACCAAAGGGATATTCCACACCATATGACGTCATGCTCAGCATATAAGGCTGGGGGAAGAAGGAAGGAAGGGGGGGACATTCAGAGTGATGGCGTTTGTCTTCCCAAGAAACCATTACGCCTGATGGAGCCCTGCTTTCCTGGAGATGGCTGAACACCTGCCTGCCGACGGGAAAGAGGGAATGAATTCCTTGTTTTGCTTTGCTTGTGTGTGCAGCTTTTGCTTTACCTATTAAACTGTCCTTATCTCAACCCACGAGTTTTCTCAGTTTCACCCTTCTGATTCTCCCCCATCCCACTGAGGGGGAGTGAGCGAGTGGCTGCGTGGTGCTTAGTTGCCAGCTGTACCACGACAGGCTCACAAGTTCCTTGTGTAAAGGGTGGTAATTTGTGCCAGCAATAAAACATTAAAACTGACACTGTAGTTTTAGCCCTCAAAACATACCAACTTTAAACAAAGTGACATCTACTTTTTGTTAAGGGTAAATAATCTACCAGTGTGCTTTAAAGTATTTTTTAAAAACACACTTTTATTTCTGAGAGTCTAATAATGCTACATAAATATGAATGAAGTTTCAATATTAATGAAAGCTATAGTAAAGATTCCCTTTCAGACTCAGAGAAGATGATTTCTAACTTTGTTTAGTTGCAAACTAGAATCTATTAGAAGGAGAAGTGGTGGTACAGACATACTTTATGGGAGCAACTGGATTTCCTTGCCGTGCTCTTCTTTGCTCTGGTGTCATGTAATCCCACTTGAACACCAGGTTCCAATCAAAGCCTTCAAGAAGAAAATATTAGAGAGTAGGGTGTTAAAGAGACTGTGGTCATCATTCAATTTGTACTAACATAATGTTGACTGAAAACACTGGGAACTGTAATTTAAATTAAAAATTTAAACTTGTACAAACTTCTGGGTAGAAAACAAACAAGTAGGAGTCCAGATGAAAGGTAAAGTTGTTGACAGGACAATTAAAAAAAGTAATCTCAAACAGAAAATAACTTTGATTTCTCTTGTTGCCATCTATTACACAAAGTAAGAAACCCAGTCAACAAGTGACAAAGCAAAAGCCTTATATATGAATCCAACATCTCATATTCTTACATCAAATAGAACATCATATGAAGATCTTCCAGCCATTACAAATGCTCCTAACAGTCTTTACTGTACACTTGCATTTCAACTCTTATCAAACGATCACATATTTATGTTTACACAGGCTTTATGCAGTACTCTTGGATCTCCTCTATCAGCAGGAGTTCCCTATCATGAAGGTCACAACAGGTTACGTAGCTCCCACTTGTCTTACTAACATCCATTTGACTTCCTCCTTTCCCACTGCATGCTTTCAAGTGCAACATTTTTTAAACCTGAGGCAAGCGCTAGAGTGCCAAAATCTTACTTCCCTTATGTATGAACATTTATGTTTGTACACACAGCAACAGCTGGTCTGGTCCTTTTGTGAGTTAGGCACAGAAGCACATGAAGATCACTAGAATAGACAAGACCAATAGGTCACCTACAGCAGCTTTCTACCTCACAACCGTTTGAACTACCTCCTTTAGCAACGATACACAGCCCGTATAAGACAAACTTCCTACAGGAAACACTTTCGTAACAGTTTTTGAGCTGGGTTATGCCCATAAGCATGAACATCTATTAAAAAACTACACAAGGTCCATAGCCCTCTCCCAGTACACCTAGCAAATCAGCCTTATACAGACTGCCTGCTGCCAAACACATTTAGATCCTATGAGGTCATGTAAATGAACGATTTCCAGATTTCTGGTGCACAGATGTCAATAGTTTTCTTTCTCCAGCATAAAGATAAAGCAATTACTTTGTGGGGAAGTGTGGGAAAAGCTAAGGTAAACAGACAACAATTACAGTCCTACAAACTGTCTGCATCCATAAACATGCACAGTAATGATTGATGTGGAGAGTTGAAAACTAAACAGTTTTCATTTTAACTCACAAGATATTTATCACACACGCAACACTGAAATTATCCTGAACAGTCTTTACAGCATGCATACCAACTCTTTCTCTCCATGTTTGAATATTTCATGAAGTGTTGCACTGTAAAAATTAAAGACCATCTAACTACTCCAAAACTCCAAGTAGCAAAACAGTAAAATGGCTTCAATCTATAGTACTGCAAAGCCTCCAGCATGAAAAATAAGATGAGCTCCAATATTTCCATGCAGTTAAAAAGTCGCATTTCATCATACGTACCCAGCAAAATTACTTGCATCTGGGAGAACTTGAAAAAACCTACTGTTCTCCGGCAGAAGCAGTAGAGATAGAGTTATGTATACTCCAGTGAACACAAGGGGTCTCTTTTGGAACACAACACTCTGTTACAAACTCAGAACAAGCGTATAAATTGTCTACCCATAAAAACTGGTTTTCCGTCTCCATTTTCACTGACTCTGGGAAAAATCTGCACTCAATAAGATAGTATCAGTAGCTCTGTAAAAGGAGTATTTTTAAACACTAGTGCATATCCAGTATAAACTGCATCATAGGCATACTCTAAATTATTAGATCTCCGTTAACTACAGTTTCTTCCAGTAATTAAAGTGTTTCTCAGGGCAGCAGAAAATTTTGCAAATCCCCTCTCAAAAAAAAATTTGTAACATGAAGTGCATGGATTTAGGAGGGGCCAGACTTGGGAATTATTTCAGCCCTGTCCGCTTTAAAAAGTTTGTAGCATTTGCTAGGTTGCTTGTCTTGGGTGATTAAGTCCTTTCAAAACAGACCAGTCACAAATGCTGTCCCAGCTGTCTCAACTCTCCATGCTTCAGCCACATAGATACTATATCTAAGGTTGAAAGCATAGTTTGGTTTCCATGTTTAGACTTGGCCCCAGTGAAAGTGTCCTGTGATGCCAAATGCTGTAGTGCCTCTAACGTGGTAATCTGTCCTCTGGGAAGTGAAAAGAAATATTATTTATGTTTCAGCAGACCCCCAAATAGCTTTAAACACTGGTATGTGCAAAATCTCTATTGTTAACATTAAAAAAAGACAGCTTCTCACTCCTCAGTCCAGAAGCTCCACATACTTTAAAGAATCTGCATCTCTATTATGTATAGCAGGAGAAAATAAGAACTAAAAAGTAAAAAAAAAATAAATTTGGAAACATAGTTCCAAAGATGAAGCATGAAAAGCAGTAACAAGTGAAATGATCTCTCAGTCTTCTCTCACTTCACTTGGAAAGAATTAAAGAGCATGAACCCCGCAGGAACCAATCAAAGGTTTCAATGGAAGAATTCCTCCTCCTACTGCAGACAACAATAAAAGCCACATAATGGTACAGAGATTTCCATACTCAAGGCATAATGAATAGACTGGGTAAAAGTCTTAAGGTTTTATTAAAGCTGGCACACAGATAATAGGACAGAACTATACATTAGCATACTGTGAATATATGTGCTGTAGGTGTTATTTCAGAACATTAATTAAAAGGATATAGAACCTCTCACCTCCAGATCACTGACTGGAAATTGAAGCATATGTGACATTATGCAAATATTGCTTTTATTTTAGTTTACTGGAACAACACTTGGTGGCCAGTTAAAGACTAGTAACTGACAGAACGGGCTCGAAATCTGTTTTTCCTTCCTTACTCAAGAAAGTCCATTCAGAAAACGCTGAAACGCTGTGGGAACAGCACTGCGTAATTTCTATATTGTGGCTCATCTTATATCTTTGTGCAGACAGTTCAGTTTCCAGGGTTGTGGGAACAATTATTTAAAAAAAAAAAAAGAACGGCTATTTTAAATGCTAGATTCTTGTTTACAGTGAAAAAATGAGTAAGGAATTTAGTGTGTGGTTGCCCTCCCGCTTTTGGAAAAGGAGAGAGGAGGATTTTGTTGGGTTTTTTTTTTTTTTTTTTGAGGGCTTCATAGGTCTTTTTACTATTTGCTGTCAACAGTTTACACTAGCTAGACATAGTGAAACTGTAGCACTTCTAAACTCAATTCAACAGGAAATTTTGTAACTGTAAAGGTATAAACACTACAAATTTTCAAGGTCACATGTTACTCTCTTCACAATTACAGATCATGGCTAACAGAAACATTTATTTTTTAAACACATTCCAAAGCTTTCTGCTCATTCAGAAGAGTTTAGATTTTTTAAGCAAACCAGCATCTTGAAAAAAACTCATAGGCACTGCATTGCTGATGGGCTTCTAAGCTAGAGAGCAATTAAAGCCTGTCTTATCTAAAAAGAGAACCATAAGCTCTGGCCATAAGCTGCTTCTGACACATTTACACAATCCTACAGACATTGGAGTGAGTACTGCACATTGCAGCATAAACTTATAAGAATTAGTATAATAAAGATGAACTGTTTTAAAGCAGAAGACAATAAGGCCAATTAAAATCCAAGCCTAGAAACAACAGACCTATAGAACTTAGACTAGATATATGAAAGGGAAGAACAGTATGTTAACTGCCCATTCCACAACTGCAGTGATTATGAGCTTTGATTCTTGATGCTTTTTTTTTTTAATTTGTATTCCAGTACAGGTACATACCGCCTTTTAAATCAGCTGACGCGCCCACGTACTGGAAGTTGTCCATATTAATTACATCAATAATAGGAGACACAACTCTGGTCTTGTCCTAAAATAAATATTAGAAAGTAATATTGAAATAATGAAATCAATATATAAAGATTCAGGCAGGATGAGATGTTGAACAGTTCGGCAGGATTTTAGTTCGCATGTCTCCCCCAGCTCTCCCCCTATTTCAACTTATGGCTCTGAATAGCCAGTGCTGTGAATAGCATTGCTCAGCACTGCTTCAGAAAGCAGAAACCACACTACATAGCTGGGAATCCTCTTTCTGTTCTAGGCTACTTATATTCAAGTAATCCCGCTCTTCTGACTTGCTCTTGAAGAAGGCTGCAAACTTGGAGTTCTAAAGGCAGTTGAGCAAACAGCACTTCCTTTCTTACTTTTAAAACCAGCTCAAAGAAAAGAAGCATCCAGGCAATTTGTATTTTCCACAGCAAATTCTAGCCATGCAGTGTACTACAGTCTTATTATTCCAACCTTTAAGGAACACTTAGGCCTTTCTGCAATCAGGAAAGTCTTAGGTTAATGCTAACCCACTTCACACCAAAAGAATCACACTTCACAATCAGATACTTAGACAGGAAAGAGAACCTAAAAACACCTCAGACTAATGAATGCTATTAATCTCCAGCAGCCAAGATTCCAGTGGTACAGATACCACATTCCTCTATCCGACCATGGTCTCATATACTACTCTGAGTAATGTTAGTTACCTTAGCTGATGTGTTTGTCAAAATAGTTTTTAAGAAAAAACAAAAATCTTTCCAACAACTCCACATGCATCATCCAGTAGGATCGCAAGACATCGGTACTCCAAAAAAAGACTCATCTAATATTAGAAATGCAATATGACGGTTAAACCAGTTTGTCTCCATGAAGTAAGTACTTCTTGGGGAAGGAAAAAAAAAACCAACCTCAAAACCCCAACAAAATACACAAACAAACAAAAACCCAACCCAAAAAAACCAACCCAGTTACATTTACACACTGAAGCATAACTTCTACAGTAGTTTGACTGAACACTTTGCTTGAGTTCAAAAACAGAACTTTGAGCTCCACAATTTAGCATCATTCAGAGATCACAGATAACTTCAGAACAGTGTATCACCAAATCTGTAAATATAAAAAGTGTTCTGAATAAACAGGAGATATTTTGGTAACTATTATAGAGAAATGGTTCTCATGGTTAAAAAAAACACCAACCTAAACATCTCCATTTAAAAAAAATTATTTTGTAAGTATTGTTGTTTGAAGACATACATAGATTCTCAACAGCGGTT